TTAGACAAAACAAGATCAAGAACGGCATCTCCCCTGGTAGGGGTGTTAACAAACTGAGTAAAAAATACAATCCTGTACTAATTCCACCATCTGAAACAAAGCTGAACATTGCTAAGTTAAAATGCTGGTAGGGCCTTTCCCTGCATCCCAACGAACATATTTGTCCGATGGTTAAGTTATGGCAAACAGTGATAAATGACATGCATGACTTATGAAACCAATAATATAAAACAGCATTAACAGTGAAGATAATGGGATAAGCGGCTCACAAGCGATCGGTCAGCAGAGGTATTTAAATTTGCCAGCAACTGGCTGCCGATGCACTGCGTGCTTGCGTGCAAGCATCACGGCTCACTCTGTGACAATGCCACTCTTGTTTATTCTGTGGGTTTGCAAGCGGTGTGAGAAGCCACAACTTCAGTGGGTACCCACTGTCCACTAAGGAATTGTCAAATGGTTAAATCAAACAAAGCTTACAATATTGGGCCAAATTATAAAATGGGAAAAACCATCTTACCTAGCAGCCAGCCATCATGTACCACCCCATTTTCAAGTTTGTTTCCAACACTACTGTTTATGAGAATAAACGAATCATGGGTTGAGCCAGACCATCTAGCCACAACATTAATGAGACGCATGTTCAAATCGCACATAATTTGTAGCCTACATTAATAGAGTGAAACTGCTTTCTATTTACATAAGCAAATTCGTTCTCTGAAGGTGACTTTATAGCAATGTGCGTGCAGTTGATGGCCCCGACTACTGTACATTGGGAAAACCGGACATCGCTGCAAATTGCACTTTAATGTTTGCCTGTTCAACCACAGTGTAAGGAAATTTTATATATCTGGGTGACAAGCAGATTATGCTGTCCCATACAGCTGGCATGGCGCGACTCAGTGATGACTGAGAAATACCCGATCGGTACGCAAGTTCTCGCTGAAATGCTCCTGTGGCTAAAAATCCAAGGGTGGATAGAACTTGTAACGGGACAGGTATGGCGCAATTCCTCATCGTCTACCTTTGTAAAGCTGGCCCCAGTTCAGCCCACAGTGTCATGCCCTGATCGTCCGCTCCTCTCATGTGCCACGCCCCCTCATTAACCCCCATGAGGAATTCCCGTATTTATCATCTGTTTCCGGTTACTGTCATTAGTGCAATGTATTTAGTCCACGTTTCAGTTTGTTTCCCCAGTCTGGTCATTGTAATGTTATCTCGTGTTTGCCTGCTCCTTTTGTCGCTGTCCCTATTAAACCCCGTGTTTGCCCCGACTTTTTGCTTCCTGCGCATTTTTCCAACGCTCCGTGCGCCGTAAAGCAAGACACACAGCTCCAAGAGGATAGCTCTTGGAAATCTAAAGCTACTTAGAAGCCAGTCATCATCATGGGCCAGAAAATCAGTATGATCCCTGAATACACGCTCTCTTCTAATTCTTCCATTTGCGATATCTTCTAGTAACGCAAGAACAGCCATGGTAGTTGCAATAGTTTTATTGTTACAAATTGATTCAAATCAAGTGCCGTACATTTGTACATTTGTAAACAACACACATTTAATGTCGGTGTATTGGATAAAGTCAGCGTCATGATTGTTTAAAAAGGGAAACCACAGTAGCAATGACTTGCCACTGGGTGCCGTCCGTTTACAAAACCGAGCAGAAACGTGCGTATGCCGTGTCTGGAGCTGCTGTGAGAATGTGCGTAGCGGTATGCCAAGTTTAGTTTTTATACATCTCGACGTGAGCGTGGAAACGGATGTAGGCAACATTTTCGTGCGTACACACCAGAGCATGTGAACCTAATTTGGGTCTAAATTTTTTTAAAAGGCTCTCGATATGAACCCCAAAAGATAATTTATCATCCAACCAAATACCTAGATATTTGTAGGAGGATACCCTTTCTATTGGAGCACCATTTTCTGTTAGAATTGTATATTCAGAAAGTAAATGGGATCGAGTAAAGACCATGAATTTAGTTTTTTTAGCATTTAGAACCAACTTTAATCCTACAAGGGATTTTTGTACCTGATTGAAAGCAGACTGTAGGTAACTCACTGCCTCTAGCAAAGATGATGCAGAGGTGTACAGTATTGTATCATCAGCATAAAAATGAACTTTTGATGGAATTAAATCCAAACCTAAATTATTTATATAAATAGAAAATAAAACGGGGCCCAAAACTGATCCATGGGGGACACCCATTATTACTACTAATAAGGGAGAGATAAAGTTGTCTACAGCCACACACTGAGTTCTACCACTCAGATAATTAGAAAACCAATTTAATACAGTATGGCTGAAACCTATGCTTTTCAATCTTTGCAGAAGAAGATGATGGTCAACGGTGTCAAACGCTTTAGATAAATCAATAAACAATGCAGCACAAGACTTTTTATTATCTAATGCAGTAATAATATCAGTTGTAACAGAGGTTACAGCCGTAATTGTACTATGCCCTTGTCTGAAACCAGACTGCATGGGACTTAAAACACTATTATTTGCTAAAAAATGTTTTAGTTGTTCATTTATAAGGGACTCTAACAGATAATCTGGATATAGGATGATAATTATCCAGGGCCGAAGGGTCACCACTTTTTAATAGTGGGAAGACAAGTGCTGATTTCCATGACTTGGGAATGTAGCCACTGCTTAAACTAAGATTAAAAATGGAAGAGACAGGTCCAGCTATCAATTTTGCAGCAATTTTAAGAAAATATGGCTCATTCTGATCTGGACCAGCAGACTTTTTACATTTTAGGTTTAATAGTGCCTTTTGTACTTCAGATGCAGGTATATGAGAAAAGTTGAATTTATTCAAACTTATATTAGAATCTGTGGGGGTTTTACTATCCACAGAGATGGATGAAAGAACAGACTGGGCAGTCATTCCTGCATTAATAAAGTGCTTATTGAATGCATCTACTAAATTTTGT